GATTTTCTTCCTTCATAACTGAGCACTAATGCCTGCTGAGTGGCTTCAGCAGTGCCAGGCAGTATACTTATTCTGTTTCTCCAAGAAAATGAAAGGTGATGCAGGACACATGGAGTTCCGGCCACAATGCAGTCAGTAGGATTTTTGGTTTAGACCTTTGTAGTGCCAGGATTTCTCACCAGTTTGCAGTGATGTCATATTCAAATCTGAACTGGTAGATGTTACCTTAAAATAAAACACTTTTGCCCCAACAGCAAAACCGTGCTGATGACTGTTACTTGTTTTGTGAAGTGTCCTGAGATGGTGGTCAGCAGAGGGTTGAACAGGAGCGAGGAAGGATTAATATACAGAGAGCACAAAAGGATGTAACTCCAAGTAGTAGGCAATAAAGGATTAAAAAATGTCCTGTGTTTAACAGGTAATGTGACACAGCTCTGCCTCAAGAGCTCTAGGGAACCGTTTCAAGCGCTCTCCTTTCACATCATATAATAACCCTACTGGCATGACCTCTTCCAAATGGGAAATGGCACAATCTACTCAATAAAAACCTCTGATTTGTTTTCTTTTCTCTGCGCCTGGTATTCAGCCGAGTGCTACATGAAACCAAGAGAAGACTGTCCCTGCCCTCCTTGTCTATCCCCAAAATTTTGATCCTGAAGGGGAAAGAAGCAGCGGGGCAAGGCACACTGCAGAAAACCTAAGATGCAAAGTGTAGCTAAGGCTAGGGCTGTAAAAGAAGCGAAAAAGAAAGTTTAGTAATGAATCCAACTGGAAGGGGTTCTCCTCTAAACAGCTCAGCCCAGGATCACTATTGGTAGTTTTTACACTCTAAGCTGGAGTGCAGGCAGTCAACAGTATGACCCAGAGAAACACCCACCCAACGAGCTGGCTGAAACAACCATCAAGGACTGCTTTAACGAACCGGCTCCACGTGGTTGTGCAGCGAGCGAGGTGTGTGCTCAGGTGGCAGATGACAACACTGCAGCGGGCCGATGGGGAGCGGGCAGCCTTTACCAACACAGTCGCTGCATCTCGGGTGCTTTCGCAATGACTGGCGAGCAAAGAAGCAGCGATGGGATATTTACCTTACGGTTACTTTTCAGGAGTTTACTTAAAACACTGGGTTGATGTAGGTATGAAAATGCCACATAGCAAATTACATGAATTTGAAACATATCTCTACAATAAAAACTGAAATTTTCAGGTTTTCCTGTGGTTATGAGCCTGAAAGCCATTCCACACAGGCAGGTCTTTGTGTCCCTGATTAACCTCAGTCAAGTAACTTAAACAGGGCTGGGTCTCATTAAGGTCCACAGTCGCAAGCTTCAGAAAACGCTGTGTACAAAAATTTGGTTGTTGGCCAACCCTGATTGCTGCATGTAAGTTACATCTGATAGGAGCAAAATGTGTCCGTTCATGAGAATTTAAACTAAAATTTCCCTAGAGACCAGGACAGCACTATTTTTCTTGCTTTTGTAGTCAGTCACTGCCTTGGCCTAATTACCCTTTTCTTGCCAACGTCAAAGCGGAGTGGAGGAGAGGTTATTTTTCAAAAGGCGGGATAAATCCCCTCGCCTCTAACTTCTGAAGGCTTCAGTTTATGACTCACTGTGTCCACAGTGAAATGAAGTTGTGATCACAACTCTAGACCCGATCCAACACACACTGAAATCAATGGGAGTCTTTCCGTTGACTTCAATGGCAGCTGGGTCACGCCCTTAGCAGACACTAGCTGCGCACAAAACAAAACCACCCTCCAGTTTTGGATGGCAGAAAATGTGGTCAGCCTGGAAACAGCAGGGATCCCTGAGGTCAGGGACTGTCTGCAACAAAAAAACTAATACAGGAAAAACCAACAGAGAGATGCTTCAAGTGCACCTGTCTGCACTCTGACTCTTTCTAGCACTATCAGCCCAGACAAAACTGCATCCAGAGCAAATATTTATCAAAAAAAACGTAAAAAGAGCAGATCTTGGCAAAAGCCAAAATCTGGCCCAAAGCAGAAAATGTAGAATAATTATTCAATCTTAAAATAAAGTTTTCAAATAAAATAAACATAAGCTTGAAGAAATGAGCTCAGTACAACTTAGAAGCTAGAAAACACTTGCATCAGACTTTGTAGGGCAGTTTTACCCTTGTCAAACATGAAGGTCAACCTAGGACTTATAAAAGAAGGGGCGTATGAGCAGAGCCAGTGTCAGACTCTATATTGTATGTTAGCAGACCACCAGCAAACAGCTGTCTGTTGGCTTCAACATTCTTCATAGGGTTCCTATATGAAAACAGTAATACAGAAAAAAGCTCACGATGAGGGAAAGCTAAGCTTGAAAATGAAACACACAGAACAGTTTTAAGAGTGTTGGGGGACTGTCAGAGAAAGGACCAAGGAACAGCATACACTTCGGAAAGATGAAAACAATGACTATGTGATGTTGGTAAGAAATTGATCACTGTCAGGAAAAAAAGCTGGGAGCAAAAAGGAATATTGATCTTTCAATAGCAGAGACCATTTAGTTTGGATGATACAGTATTTGTAGGCTGGGCTTCACCTTGGCTGATACATCCCCAGGGCTGATGCACTATTATTTGAACAATTTTCAGGTGGGAGAGGCAGACGTACAGGCAGACTGGCTACCCTCACACTGGCAGGTATGTCCTGACAGGGTGTCTGAGAGTTACTGATGCTCAGTACAAGAAATGTCTCACTCACTCAGGCCTCTCCAGGCTGATTGTTTCTTCCACCCAGCCTGTCAGGGCCTGAGCTTGGCAGGTTGAGGAGATAAAAGTAGGCCCTCCTTCAGTCAGCTTTTTTCTACACTTATTTTTCAGCAAATCAGGAAATGCACAATGACACAGTGATTTTGTTGGGTTAGTTACGGGCTTAACAGATACCTACTGTATAAATTAAAAACAGGGAGGTCCTCCAGGGCTGGGCGGCCTGTGCAATGGGAATGAGTACACTGTCCCACAGGTGACAGATGCATCCTGACCCCCTGCACTGACTTAGCATTTGCAGGAACGGAGAAAGACCAGAGAACTTGTAAAACGTGGCTCAAACTTGTTAGCAAATTACTGGGCTAGAATCACCACCCCCCCAACCCCCCCACCCCTTTGTAGCATTATTCCGGCATTTCAGTGTAAACTCTTCATTATACCGGTTATACTGCACATTTTGGGCTGTGTTTTTGGACTCGATTCCTGTGCCATTTAAAAATGGGAGAAAAGAATTATCTCCCAGGGCGAAAAGCTGACACTCTGGACCATAAATGAGAGAGAGAGATACGGGGGGGTGAGGGATGGCCGAGGAAGACACCCCCCCGCCCGCTGCCCGCCCCC